GCTCCCTCTATTGGCTTGTCTGTGCCACTTGTGTGACATATATTGTGTCACTCCTTTCACCATTTGTATTGTTACATGAACCTTCTGAAGATCTTTGAAAAATATTTTTTCTTGTCAGTTTTCTTCCTAGAAAAGTATTCTTGCCATAGACTTTTTGAATATATTTCTTGTATTTAGTTGCAAAAATATGCAAGAAGGTATTTGAAAAAGAAAAAGAGAACAAGTAGTAGCTGTTGCTTGCACTGCTAATTAAGGAACCAGTGTTTTTAAGAATAGTGTATAGACTTTATTATCAGAAAGATATAAAATCTTTTGAGAACATCTGTTTTTTGGATTGGTAAATGGATTAGCAAAAAGAGTTTTATTAACAATTTATAATAATACATGTACTTTTATATATAAATTATTTTACTATTTAAATATTTGTTATTAATTTTTACTCTCTAAACATAATTTTAAAGATAAATAAAATTGAATTTTTTATTTTATTTTATTTTTAAAACTTGATGAATTTATTTTTTTAATCAAGAATTTAAAAATCACATACAAATCTATAGACTTATTACTAGATATTCTGCTACATAAAAAATATATCTGTAAGCAATTCGATTAGAAGTAAAAAAAAAAATAATAATAATAAAATGCTGTAAATACTGTAATACAGATATTAAAAAAAATTATTTTTTTTTTGATTAATTAAATTAAGTAACATGTCTTATAGAATTGCTATTTTGTAAAAACTAATAGGTATCTAATTAGCAGTACTATTTTCATGTTTACAATTCATCTTTGACGTTAGACTTTTAAAACATATATTAATTAGTTATCGATTTTCTTTCTATTTATTAACAAAATGTCCACTTATTAAAGACATGATTAGATAAAAGACCTTTAATATTTATAAACTTAAAGAATAAAACACGAAACGAATGAGACAACAATAAATTTGGGTAATAATTATTGTTATATTATCGCGATAGCTTATGAAAAACCAAATAACTGCCATATGTAAAAGGCAAAATAGAAATTACATTACAAGTGTTTTCTAGGCTTTTCTAATTCTTTAAACAAGTCACTCGTATAGATAAAGGCATGTTTATATCCAAAATTTTGAATCGATGGAACGATAATGTGGGCAAATACAATTTCTTACTAGGCGATAATAACATTCAGCCGCCACGTATATTTTACGCAGTTCTTACGAGTTAACGCATAAACTTATTGAATGTCATCTAGATCATCATCGTTATAATCGCTGTCACTATCTCCAAATATGTCCTCATAATCATTTAAATCTTCTGGCTCGTATAGAATCCCTTCTTCATCTTGAACCAACTCATCTGTCATAGGCATTAAAATGGTTTTAATATTCCAATTTATCACGTATCATAGAAATTCCCATACCTTCGTGTTCGATGGATTGTTGTTGTGCGCGTTGAAGATTCCGCATCAATTCAGCAACCTTAACGACACAGTTATGCATAATTAACGATTGATACAAAAGAAATGCGAAACAGATATTATAAATACCCTGTTGGCAAGAGGGTCACCTTCCTCCGATTCGCCTTCAATATCACTTAGTTCCTCATATTCGCGATCATCGTCATTTCCCAGATGATCGTCACGTAAAAGATCTTCAAAATCTTCGTCGTTCAAAGTCTTACCTTCAATCAATGCTTTAAATTTCCTTCTCATTACCTTTCTCATTTTTAGGAGTGCGCCTTGCTTGTAATGCCCGTCCCGTTCCTCGTATTGATAAAATATGAAATTACATTCAACACAATCGTCAAGTTAAACTTGTTTTCACAAGAAAGCATAATTGACATACCGTACAATCTTCATGTACAGCGTCAGGTGATTCAATTAAACTTTTCAATAATGGATCCGTTATATCGCACATTTGGAAGACTGCTATGTCTCGCTTGGTAGTACGACCATCAAAGATATGCGTATTTCGAGGAACCGAACTAAATTATAAAGGTTTTCTTTATAGGACATCTGTTAATCAAGTCACAAGATGCTTCTAGATTTGATCGTACTCAGCCATATTATTATTATCCGATACATGAGGAATTCCACACAAATCCGTTGCCGATTCTCCTTGAACACGAAGTAGGCGTTTTGCTCTATCTAACCTAGTTGGCCGTCTTGTATTTCGAATGTCAAGAAGCTGATAGCTGGAAATAAATGAAAATTTGTCAGAGACTTTCTTTAAAAAAAGTACGCAATAAAATTACATACAATCTAGCCTCCTTGTTTTTTCGCGGATCATATCCATACCGAATCCAACAATCACGCCACGGCCCATTTAGCATCCAATAAGAGACCAATGGCAGTAACCTAGCATCAGTCAATGACATTAATTTATTTGAACGGAAAACATGCATTTTAACCGTTAATACTTACATTTTTACAATTCTCCTATCGCATACTGGCAAGTAATTTAGCAGCGCCAACCTCGTCCATATTGGTCTTTCTGAAAATAACTGAAAGTCCACACGAACCATCGGTAAGACCTTCCACAAGGGGGAAGATGAAAGATACCGTTACCTTTTGTATTCTGGAAACACTTTCAGGAGAAGCTAAATGTTTGTGCTTGACGGCATCTGGTGGTGGCATATCTGGTATGGGTGAGAACTCTTAAGGAACGATTGTCTATTGAATTCAACACTATAATTAAATCAAAGGATATTTTCTGAATCGAAGCTAATCGAGAGGGAAACAAATTTTTTTCGGCGACTTCTGTTGATGAGCTTAAGGGCTGGTGGCTAAGATAAATAAATACATATGTTGATAAAATAATATCATTATACGGAATTCAGACAATCAGGAAGGTTAAATTATTATACCTGACCATCTCCTTTTTGTACCAGAACCTTAACAACCGCCATATTCTGGCGATATCTGCGAAATGGACGAGATCAAATGAAAAAATAACTCAAGGTATAATTATGCCAAGGTGACGACATCAAATTACCCGTATTCCATGGGGCATTCTATACGGGAAAACGACGGGGGCGGAAGATTATCCTCAAAATTTCCATCACTCGAAATCGAATCAAAATCCATGATGGTGTCAACTGTCATCATTCAACGAAAAATCATGTAATAGGATTATTTTCCGGGTTATTGAAGTGTTACCCGGTATAACAAGGTCGCATCATCCAATCTTACCATCAAAATTCTCGAGTGCTTTCCTGTATTTCGGTATAGTATCGTTAGGATTGGGAACGAATTGGTAATCGGCCATTCCTAAGATATAGCAAGTTAGATTCATTTTCGCCCTAGGTGAAATTAAAATTTGACCCTACCTCGAAAACGGCATGTTTTACTGATAATCCCAATTACTTTGAAATCAACATCTTTTACATCCCCATTATCGGTGTGATCATCCAAGATTTTCTGGGAGACGTGAGTTTTACGCTTTTTGCGTTTCCAAGTTACTTTGAGCAAGAGGTTTGATGTTGGAATAACGTCCCCATTTATAGGATGACAGAACGGATCTCCAGGCCTGAAACGAAGTTCCATGAGATCCTCATTCACCGCCTTTACCGTTATATCAAATGAGATACATCGAATTAAGCTGATTCCAACTGAACGAGTATCGACCTTACAGGATAGCGTAAACCCTTAATTCTACCTTTTTCAATCCTCTCTGTCCACCAAGAGTTTGCAAGACCTTGTCGATATTTTTCACATAACCAGGATATTCTACGGAAAATAATTGTTGAGATGGAATAATTTTGGTAGGTGCCGTATCATAACGCGCAAGGGAGATCTCTGTCATTTTTTCCATTATGAATGATGAACCAAATTTTGGAATTTTGAAAGCTTGCCGAACTTATTGAACCCGACATGTGTTAGACATTTACACCATAGCCAATTAACCTGTTTTGGTACACATTATGTAATCTGTGATACGATAAGCTATGTAAAATAAGTGCGTATGTGTGTATTCACTCTAAAATCTGGTTGTTTCTTCTACACACGCCTTTTTTTCTTTTATTTTATTTTACATAATGGAGTGTCAAATATGTCATAACTATCATAACAAGTTCTACTGTGCAAACTGCCTTCGTGAATGGTATTCGCCTTTCCCACGGTTTCACTATTCCTTTTCGTTCCATTATCATTATACACTTTCTGACATTTACCTTTAATGTTGTAAAAGGCTGCGCATACATAATACCGAAATGAAACAGATCACGCAAGAAAAGCAACGAAATGTAGAAAAGGCAAATAAATATCTCGTAGGAACACTGAGAAATTTTCAAGTAAACTTGGCGGACAAACATAGTAAGGCGCAAAAGTTAAGTAGTCTTGAAAAAGAGATCAACAGGACGAAAGAGGAAATTGGTCGAGGTAAAAAATTGAAGCCAATATGCAAGAGAAAGCAAAGTTAAAATTGTATTTATATCTATTAATTTATGGGCTCAATTAGATCGTCAAGAAATTGATATTTTAAAACGAAACCTTAGAACCAGGAGACAGGTCCTACAGGAATCACTTGCCTATTTTAAAAAATTCAAGTCTCATCAGGAGGCCTTGGTTGTAAAAGATATGGAAAACACAAAAGAGAGGTGGTGCCACGTGCATCAGGTTCTAACGCATTCGAGAAAGGTTTTGATCGCAGAATTGGTATCATTGTTTGATTTAAAGAGAATATCAGATCCGTCATCACATAACAACGCACCAAAAGATGGTAAAGTCATCGATGACGATGGTGAATATGCAATAGCTGGTATGACACTACCAAAAAAAGCCGATTTTGTCAGTGAGTAGATACTTTATTTGACATAATTGATTCACCCAATTTTTACTCAATAACTTTCGACGATCAACAGGATATTCTCATGAAAATATAAATGCAGCCGTCGGACACGTAATACACATGTTAGGGTTGGTTGCACATTACCTCGGAGTCAAACTACCATTCATGGTGGTCAATAGAGGCTCCAAGTCATACACCAAAGGCTCTGTGCCCGGAATCCCGATAAGGTATATATAAATCTCTTCAATCATTCGATCCCATAGTTTTAGGTAAGATGCTAATCTTGAAATATTGTTGCATACGATAGTAAGATGCCACTTGTTTTAAACGATCGAAACTTAGAACGTTTCACCGTTGGAATGGCGATGCTTAATTACGACATTGCATATTTGTGCCACACCCAAGGCGTAGAGATTGCTTCTCATAAAGTGCCTCATACACTCCAAAATTTATATCTCTGTTGTCAAGCGCCAAATCTTGGACGGTAACTATAACCCGAATCAAATTTTAAATGTTCATAATTTATAAGACAATAATAACGATTGATCTGTTTATCTGTGTACATTTGTATTAAGTTCGGGTCATCTCACTGCCTTGAATCGAATCTTTGACCAGTCTTTTAGCTTAGACTTTGAAGAGGTATTGCGTATGATGTTCGCACTGAGGAACGGAACTGAAACAAAGGATGGCATCATAGACAAAAATATTCCTGGTGTGTCCATATCTGACTATATCGAAGAAGGTGACATTCCTTTTTAGTTTCTTGGCATTTTTGTGATCTGCAAATTTATTGACCGTCTCAACTTTATAGATTTCGAAGATGATAATGATGAAGACGGTGACAATTGGGTTATATGTGATGGTACGACTTACAACCCAAGTTGCTCATCGACACAATTTTGACACTTTGATACACGCAGTTCCATTACGTCATTGAAAAAAAAAAGATTATTTTATTTAATTGTATTTCACTCCTGTGTGGAAAAACTTTCTAAATGACTGAACTATCTTCAAGGGTAACGATAGCATCCGTTCATAGATTATTAATCTCATTAATATAGATTAATAAAACTTTTAGAAGCATCCGTACATCTATTCACATAGACCATTAATCATAATTAATTTAAATTTAGATGGTTCATTTCTTTTAGACATCTAAATTATATCCTTTTAGGAAGATTTTATAAGATATTTAATTCAATTTTGCTGTAATTTTTATTAAGCACTGTAAATTTTCCCAAAATTTGGATATTGTATAAAATTCGATTCCTCATCTCAAATTTTATGCATGTTTAGTTTCATGTTTGCAAAATTTTCATCCGATACCTTTATCTGCATATCAAATTAATTCACTATTTAAGATTTTTCTTTAAGTAATTTTTGATTGATTTATAATTGGGATATTTTGTCGTAATTGCTAATTACAGTATATATCTTTATTCATCAAAGCTATATATACGGCTCCAATTAATGCTGCTGGTATGTTTCATTTTCATTTTTTCAAAATCATTCAATAACTCATTACACTTTATAACTATATCGATTTAATGAGTTTGCCAAATCTCATTCTTTTATTATACCGTTTTCTGGAGGGTTATATGTGATCCGATCATTTTTCTGTTGGAAATGTCGCTTGACGCTTCTAATATTGAATTGTCATCAAATTCATTCATTTTTTAAATAAATTTTATTTACACATCAATTAATTTATATAGTGATGTCAATTCATTATTGTATAATTGAAAATTAAAGTGCAATTGACCTTGATTAATATTTATGTATTGTTTACATCAATAAAGTTTTATAACAATATAGTTATGAACAACAGATCCTAAACTAATTCATAATTTTCAATTACTATTTTCTTTAGAAATCAAAACTTTAGTCTGCTTAGACTTGATATGACCTGACTCAATCTGACCATATGTAATTTTTATTTATTGATTTTTTTAATAATATTTAATATTCATTAGTTGGAAATAATTATTTAACAGTTTGTCTAAAAAGTCTTTGGACAAAATTTTTTATAATAAATAAATAAATATTAATATATTTAATATAAAATTTTAAATATATATTTTTTAGAATATAAAATTAAAATATTAAGTTTTTTTTAATACTTTATTAATAAATTTATCATAAAATTTGATTTTTAAACTAATAAAATTTGGATTTAAAATTTATATATATATTATGGTTGGAAAAATAATTTTTACTATATAAAATTTTTAAAAAAAATTATTTATAAAATAAAAAAAATAGTTTAATAAAAAATTATAAACTGTTTTTTATAATATACAAATTAATTTTATAAAAAATTTTTGTTTTTTATTTTATAAAATTAATTTTAAAAAATTTTTTTAAATTTTAATTTTAATATAAATTTTTAAAAAATTTTATATTTTTTATTAAATTTTAAGTTACTTTATTTAATTAAAAATTAATTAAAGATTATTTTTTATTTAATTTTACAAATCAATAAATTATAACTATTGTATATAATTTATTTTTTTATTTATTATAAGTTAATTAAATTATATTTTTTTAAAAAAATTTTTTTGATTATCAATTAATTATCAATTAATTTTAATAATATATTAATAAAAGTCTATTAATTAAATTTGTTTTTTATATTATTATTATTATATATTCAAATTTTTGTTTTATTTTATTAAGTAATTATTGAATTATAAATATAAATTAAATTAAAAAATTTGTTCAAAAACTTTTTAGACAAACTATAAATATCAAATGTTAATTTTTTAGTATAAAAGTAAATAATTTGTTAAATTTATTAAATTTATAAAATATAAATTTTTATTATAAATTAGTTATAAATAATTTGATTTATAAAACCTGTAGATCCATAGTACAGTAAATAGTGCTCCACAGGTCAGATCACAAGATACCGGTTCAATCCCATGTAAAGACAATTGAATAGATTGACATGGTATCTGACACCATAATCAATTATATGCTGTTTTTCATAAGAAGTCATTTTACATGCTGATCCAGCAGGCGTTAAGATTGTGATCTTCCCATTAAGGTGAAGTAGTGTGACGATTGTCCAGCTGGTGTTACAATGATCATCAAATAAAAAGGTATCATCACATATTTGAATGTACAGACTGAACTGTACTCCATCTTATCTAACCCTTATTAACTATCAACCACAACCACTCATTTGGATATATAGACTGGGCTGTACTCTATCTTAACCAATCCCAACCCGCCACTTCCTTTTACTCCCCTGCTGATTAGCGAATAAGGAAGCTTTGAAGAAAGCACTAAAATAATACTGGAGTCTTGTGGAATATGACATATCACAACCATCCCTGCTTATAGGAGTTGCGTCCTGCTTGGCATTTATACCCCTAGATTTGACAACCAATACTAACCGGTTCCGAACTGAAGTGTCTACTAGAAGATAAAGGGCTATGGTCCTTAGGAGTCATGCCCCACTTGGTCACAAGAGCTTCTAGATTTGGTAGCTAGCGCCAACTAGTGGATCAAAAGCTGGAGCATTCACTAAGAAGTACAAGTATATGGTGTTGGGACCTTCTCTACCATAGGATGAAGGTGCGAAGAGGTGTAATATGATAAGTAACCTTAAGAAATAATCAGCAATATTGACTGCCCTCTCAAATTGGACTGGTAGATTAGATGATTTAAACTAGTGGTAGGACTTCCACCCCTAATTAGATCCCCCCAAAAATATGAACCCATTTCATGAGTATTACTAGTATCACTGGAATAATAAGTAAATAGGCTAGCATTTAACTGTTGTAATAACAATAGACGATGTTTGATGTAAAACTAAAAATTGATATATTCAATAAAATCCTGCATCTAATGCCGTTCTACTTTAAAAAAAAAAAAAAAAAAAACATATATATTTATTGTTAAATTTTTGTTATATACTGTATATATTTATTTTATTTTTTTTTTTAATGTTAAAGTGAGGCATTACTTATGATCTTTATTAATATGGTAAAGTTCAACTTGTACACGATTAAT